CATTTTGTTGACAGTTTCCCTGGAAGATAGACCTGGATTTTTCAACCAGCTTCATTCCAAATGCTAGTAGTGATCTGTACATTTTTCTTCTGTCTGGAAGAAATTACTGTAAAAAATTAGAAGCTACAATTATTGTATGGGAAGAGAAACTTCCAATAAACTTCTGCACACTGATTAATCAACAAAAGTCATACAAACATTGATACTAGGACTATCCATGGGAAAGAATAAGCACAGATGTTTAGTACTAAGTTGGATTAACTATTGGGACTGTTGCTGCTGGACTGGATAGATTCTAGGTAATTTAAAGTATTTTAAATCAAGTCTGGATGCTTCACATAAAGATTTCATCTCTCAAATTGTGATTATGGACTTGGTGCTCAATTCATTGAGTCATGTTCTCTGACAGCTCTCCTGACTGCTCTCATCCACTGGTGCCTGGATTCCTCTACTTCTTTTACATCCCCAACAGAGACAAGGATACAAAAAACCCTTCCAAGATAACAGGACTAGTGTAAGGGACAGAAGATGAAGGCTGATGTGAAGAGATGTTAATGTTGCAGATGAAGAGAGCTGCAAGAGAGCTGGAGAGGGACTTTTGACAAGGGCCTGGAGGGACAGGACAAGAGGGAATGGCTTCAAATCAACAGAGATTAGATATGAGAAATAATTTCTTCCCTGTGAGGGTGGTGAGGCACTGGCACGGGTTGCCCAGAGAGTGGCTGTCCCATCCCTGGAATTGCTCAAGACCAGGTTGGATGGGGCTTGCAGCAGCCTGGTCTAGTGGAAGGTGTCCCTGCCCATGGCAGGGAGTTGCAGCAAGATGAACTTTAAGGTCCCTTCCCACTCAAACCATTCTGGGACAATAAATCAGCAGGAGTTTAATAGGGTGTAGAAGCCCAAGACTTGCCTGCCTGATACAGTTTAGTCTTTTTGAGATATCCTTTTGAACTGTATGGGAAATTGAAAACCAGGGCCCAGGCTGTCTGGCACAGTCCTGAATGAGTAGAATGGTCTCCATGAGGGGTTCAGTCTTTCCCATGGATGGAGTCCCACAAATTTTCCAGTAGAGCTGCTGACCTCTGCAAGCCTACAGAGAGATGATCTTGCTCTTCTGGGTCAAGGACCCCACAGGGATGGTTTCTGGATCCTGAGAGGTGGAAAGCAATGCTGTGTGAATAGGACTATTATGGCTCATACACTCACATTTAGAAGATTCCCTTTAAGGATCTGAGATGCAAAACTTGCTGAACCTATTCTTGCAGGACTCCCAAATCCCTGCCCTTCCAACTAAAGCCCTTTATGACTCTGATCCCTCTGCAAGTAATTGGTTTCTATAAAAGATGGTGCTTAGTGCTGGGAGTGATATTGGTACACAGGTGCTGTGTAGGCAATAGAATCATAGAAACATCAAGGTCAGAAAAGACCTCCAAGGTCATCAGGTCCAGCCTTCAAGAATTCCAGTCCATACACAAGGGAGATTTCCTACTGATTTTGTACCTAAATCCAACTTATCATTTTTTTTATTGCTGCTGTGTGTGTTTTCTTTGCAAAGAGGGAATGTGAGAGAAAACAGGAAAGCTCTCATAGGTGAATCATGAAAGAAACAAATAATTTCCCATTATTTGGCATTCATGGGTTGCTCGTTTGCCCCTATTTCATGCCCAGATTTGAATGATCCAACTGTTGATCATTCAGCCAAGACTGTAACTTTGACATCTGCCATGAACTTGAACATATTTTAGTTAGGACTCACCAGACTTTCCTGTTAAGATAATATTTCACTAAAAAAATAATGATATGGGTCTCAGTCATCTATGTCCTCAGTAAGTGACTCTCAACCACCTGAGAATTAACAAACACATATGTAAATCCTTCAGGGCTCCCATTATCTTTACTCTGCCTCAGTTTATTCCCCTGGAGTTGCCTGAAAGATAAATATGATTCCGAAGTATTGTTGATGAGTGGGCTGATGAGTGGGGTGGATCAGGACAGTTTCCAGGTCTCTGCAGGCCTTTATTCAAGAGGAAAACATTACTTTTCTGGCCTGGACTGCATTTCCACTTGTACTGGTGTGATTTCAGAGGAGCAGCACTGAATGAGATTTATACCTGAGTTACGTGGGCACATGCAAGAGAAGGATTGGTCAAATTGTGCCTAAAGCCCCAGTGGATTTAAGAGCCTTCTCCAGCAGCTTAGGTAGCTTTTCTTTCTATCCTTAGCAACACAGTCCTGATTAACCCTCCAAGCTGTGGTCAGTCATTTTGAGGACAGTTTGATTGACAGCAGGTAACCTGCTAACGCTTTTCCCTGCATTGTCCAGAGTGTTAGATCCTGTAAGTGGCTGGTTGGTTGGATGTGTTGCTTTTTTATTATTATTATTTCATTGAGTCACTTTTAATCTCTTGGATATTCTAAAAGGAAAAGTCATCTTGAGCAAGAGGCATGAAGTATTTTAATGTAAGTACAAGAATATGCATTGAGACTCCTCTTATGTAGCTATAAAAAGAAGTATTTGGGCAAGATGAACATTTTGTTTCCTTGCCAGATATAATCTTCTTCCAAATTGAAACTTCTAATGGATAAATACTAAACTCTGCTGGATGGAAACTCCTTATATTTCCTATAAGTGTCTTCTGGAAGGCTCTTTATTGACGTGATATATTGCAGAGCAGATCTGACAGATCATCTAGGCTTTGGTGGGAAACCAACTCTATCCCCCAAAACCTAAGGGACAAAATTCCTTTACAATCCCTTAACAATCCTGTGAAATTAGTCCCCAGGCAAATTAGTATTGGGAAAGTCTATTATTATTTGTTCTGTATTTAAATTTTTTTGTACATACAATATGATTTAACAGCTTGAAAAACATAGGAAAAATATCTATGTGGGAAGTAGTTAGATTTCTGTGAGTGCAATCAGGATATTGTGGACCACCATTTGTCCAGGGACTACAACATGGATAATGAGTTTGTTTGGAAATTATGCTGCCATTGTCTGAAACTTCTAATGTGGGACTAATGGAGAAAAAGCCTCTGGAAGCTGTTGAAAAATAGAGAAATGAGATGTTTTCTTCCCTGGAAGTGATGAGTTTGAGTGATGGATTGACCTTGAACTGGGAAATAAATAAGTGAATAATTGCTCAGTGAAATATGAACATGGAAAGAATAAATCATACTGAAAACATGGATATAAAAAAGCAGGGATTTGTCAAAATAATAGTCTTTCAAATGGTGCCTCATGTCTTTTCTCACATAGCCAAGGTTAAACTTCCACTTATTGCAGGAATGAATTTGCTGTAGTCGAATGTGCACAAATATTTCATTGAGAGTTGCATAGTGAGAATATAATACAAAAAGTTTTGTTCTAAAATGGGGAGAAATTCAACACTTGCAGGTTTTGAATGCTGCACCTCTGCAATCAATGCCAAAATTCCCATTAATAACTGTGGGAACCAAACTCATCCTCCAAAGAATAATTTGGGAGTAGTACTAGTAACTTGAACTTTATTCAGCTGCTGCGAGAAGTGTAAACAGGAGCAAATGGAAGGAAATATCTCCTTAGAAAGACATTTATTGTTTTCTAACTGATTTGAGAATAGCAAAATATTCCTTTCTTGTGAGAGATTTTCTTAAAAGTTGCCATAGAAAACTGATATCAACTAAGAACATCATTTGGGAAGTAAATTGGATGCAGGTGCTTGTAGCCAGAACCACTTTCTGCAAGCTGCAGGACAAGCTACTTCTTACTTAGTATTGTTAGTTATTGTTACTATTTCTTACTAACAATTCAAATGGTTTTCTGCCTGGCTGTGAGCAGTAACTTCTGATCAGACATGACACCTCTACATGGAATTTGGAGAGTTTCCATTCAAGTCTGAGTAATTAGCTTAGAATAAACTGTGGAATCACTGTTCGTATTCATGAAATAGACTTGCTGTGCTCATTACATCTAATAATTTAGTAGTGGTAAATAGCGGTAATTATTATCATGATTCTGGTTTTTCCCATCTCAAAACCAAAATGTCTTCTTTTTTGGGCATAATAGTTTCATTCCATGTGAGGTCTGAAGTTTTTAGTGATTCCAGGAAATGCATTTGATAAGGGCAAGTAAGAAAGAGCAGAGTCGAGTCGCTTCCCCATTTGTCTCCACCATGGCAAAGACATTACAAACACCTGTGTTCAACAGGTGAGGTTCAACCACCAGACTGAAACACCACAGTCAGTTTAGCTTCAAAAGTGAAGGACACAAATTGGGCAGATCATTCTCCTCTCATCTGTGCTTACCAATTTCAGATTTTCCCACTGTTTAGCAGAACCAAGTTTTGTAGTTCTGTTTGAGGTCTTGTAACATTTCTTACAGTGATTTGTTTGCATAATGGTCATAAATTTTCCATGCAGAACATACCTCAGCACACTACAGCATGACCATGTGCAGCTGCTCTAAAGCCAGGCTACTCTGCCCTTCAGTCCACTCAGGATTTCTGTGCTACAAAGTGCAATCACCACATGAACAAATTCAGTTTTGTTTTGGTTTTTGTTATGCCCCAGTTCACAGGGTTAAAGAGTTACATGAGAATCTCAGTGCTCTGCTTGTAAAAATAAAGCTGAATATAATCACTGGCTCTGAGAATTTCAGAGAAAACCTCAAAAATATAAGCAAGGAAGACACAGAAGTCAAAAGGACAACAATACAGTTTTTGTGGGTTTCACTTGGGGTCTGACTCATGTTTTTGTGCCTCGGGGCAACTAACTCTGACTGGATTCTCACTGGCATCTGCAGGACAAGGAGGATTTGACTGTGAGGTGCAGTGTTACGGCTGCTCTTCCTGCTGTGCTCCTCATATCTACCTGAGCCATTAACACCATGTTGGTACAATCTGCTCATGAACAAGCACACATGGTAAAGCTGTTGTGAGGAACACAATTTCCCCCCATGCTATTCAGGCACTGATTCTGCATGACTCAATCAACCCCTACTCTGTTTTTCTTCTCTTGTAGTTATCTTTAAGCAAGAGAAATGGCACAGGTTCCTGCTATGTCCCCCACCCTACAACTATGAGCCACCTCTTCCCTCCGTGGCTCGGGCAAGCACTCTCACCAAGGTACCTCCAGCCAAAAAAATAACCTTCTTCAAGAGTGGAGATCCTCAGTTTGCAGGAGTCAAGATGGCCATCAACCAGCGAAGCTTCAAGAGCTTCAATGCACTCATGGATGACCTCTCCCATCGGGTCCCACTGCCGTTTGGGGTACGGACCATCAGCCACCTCTTCCCTCCGTGGCTCGGGCAAGCACTCTCACCAAGGTACCTCCAGCCAAAAAAATAACCTTCTTCAAGAGTGGAGATCCTCAGTTTGCAGGAGTCAAGATGGCCATCAACCAGCGAAGCTTCAAGAGCTTCAATGCACTCATGGATGACCTCTCCCATCGGGTCCCACTGCCGTTTGGGGTACGGACCATCACCACCCCACGAGGAATACATTGCATCAGTGAGCTGGACCAGCTGGAGGATGGAGGATGCTACCTGTGCTCTGACAAGAAGTATGTGAAGCCCATCAGCATCACTTCCGGGGCACACAGGCCAGCGCCTCCGCGGAATGGGCGACCCTCCAGTACCATGAGAAGAGTAACTCAGGAGAGCAAGCTTGAAGATTATTCCACACCTTTCACTCACCACGGCCCCAGAATACCCAAGAAAATCACTCTGGTTAAGAACGGAGAAAGTGGGTTTCGGCGCTCCATTATCCTGAACCGCAGAAACGCACGGAGCTTCAAAACGCTCCTGGATGAGATCACAGAGATCCTGCAGTTCCCAGTGAAGAAGCTCTACACTGCTGATGGGAAGAAGGCAAGTATCTCTGATCCCTAGTACTGGTCAGTTATTCAAACAGGTGTTATTTCCCTGTGATGCAAATCCTTTAGCTCATGGAGCCAATAGTTTATCCACCTTAATCCTTTGGGCTTTGTCACATGAGTTACTTCCCCATTAATTAATTACAGACAAATCTGATGTAGTAGAATCTTGTTCAACCATTCAAGAACTTTATACATCAGAAAGAAATAGGCATTTTAGACAGCTACTTTCCAAGGAACTGTCTAAATGATTGTGGATATCTGGAGCTTCACAGCAAGGTGAATTTTGTCACGTACCACAGCTCCAACTACAGTACTTTGCTAAGTGTTAAAGCAAAATTTCATCCTTCCCTCTCCATTCTGCTGAATTCTTAACATATTCCCTGATTTCATCAAGAGTAACAGTGTCACAGCAGTTAAGATTTAGGGCCTGGGACCATTCGCTGTGGTGGTTTGGATGTGCCCAGCCTGTGATTGAGCAGCCAGGCTGCTTCAGTTGTCCTCCATTCTGAAGAGCAAGGTCTGGCACTATTTGCTTTACTACTACAAATGTAGCCAACTTGAATTAGGCAAAAACCCAACCAAAGCCAACCCTGCTGCAAAGATGTGTTATAATTTTTTACTATGAAGGTGGTGATACACTGACCACAGGTTGCCCAGGGAGGTTGTAGATGCCTCAACCCTGGCAGTGTTCGAAGCCAGGCTGGATAAAGCCTTGAGCAACCTGGTCTGGTGGGAGGTGTCCCTGCCCAGGGCAGGGGGTTGGGACTAGATGGTCTTCAAGGTCCATTCCAACCCCTTAACATTCTATGATTCTATGATTCTATAATCTATAGATAAGAATTTTATTTTGCCACTGATCTCTTCACTTTTCAAGACTTGGACTCCTGTTCAGTCCACATGGGCATAACAATCTTTGTGTACTGATAGCAACTTCCTTTTAAATTCTGCTATTTTTCAGAATTTTAACTGATATCACTAAAGAAAGTTTTGCCTTTTACTTCTTAATGCAGTCTTAATATTCTCCTTATGATTCTTAAATGAGTTTCTCACAGTTTGCCCTCTAGTAATTATAATCATCAATATTTCAGCTGGGGTATGTACTAAATACACACTCTGTAAACACTATCTTCAATATTATTCAACTTTCATCTTTCTTTCCCTCTAAAGACATGTAGATCTATTTGACATTTTCAGCTCTGCAAAGGTGATTACCTTGTCTCTGTTATATTATATTCAACACCTGGACATAGCATTCATGTTTTAGTTGATATGGTGGTGTTTGATCCAAGGTTGGACTCAATGATCTTGGAGGTCTTTTCCAACCTTCTGCAGAAAAGTGGGTGTGGATCAAACACCATCACTAAATCTCTCCAAGGTCCCTTTTTTGGGATATGAAAATTCTCATGACAGTCTTGTCCATAGTCAATTTTATGTACCTTAATCATTTTATTTTCACACCTTTGATTCTTGTTCAGAATACCTCAGTGAGAGGTGGTTATGGGTCCAACCTGAGCAACATTATCAGCTTACACATAGAGCTAGAAAATATGTGATTATTAACACCTTTCCTGGGGAATCTTCTAGAGTGACTTTTTTTTTGCCATTCTTAATTTCAATCATTCACCTCCAGCTTTTGAACAGTTCATTACTGTTCATTTCATGGACATTCCTATTAGAGTTTCTTGTCACTCTAGGCTTGGGTACAAAGCATTTAAACCACAAAAAATGTCACTCTATCTTGGATTTTCCCATCTTTTCCTTTCAATCAAATTCTCTAAACCATTTCTGCTCTTCCAAGTTTTCTTGTCAAACCTCACCTTCAAGATCTCTGTTCCTGATACACAACTGATTGTGTCCCAGAGTTTTCACCAGGTAGAACAGTTCCATTGAGGAGTAAAAACAGTAATTCATTGCACAGTTTTGTGATATTTCCTGAAATAACTTCCTTCAACTGGTGCTAAAGATGAATTTTGGGTGTAGATATTGCCTTTATACCTACATTTACATTTTCTGTTCAAGACAATGAAAAAAGCCTCTGTTCTTCCATGACTATTTAAAGGTATCTGTGTGCTTCATATTTCTTGGGTATTTCCTTGTTTCTCACATTATTCTTTTGAATAATAATTTAAAAACTTGTTTAGCAACTTTGTAAACTTCTTTTATCACATCTATGTAAATTTTTGGAGGACTTATTACTGAGACCTTTATTTCTAGGAAAGATGGTTAGGATTGAGTGGAACAGTAACTTTTGACATTTATTTATATGATTTGGCAGATTAGCAGAATAACACTATGAATCATTCCTAAGCAATGCAATTGGACTACTGCTTGATCAACTTTGTATTTGTCTGGCTTAGAATAACCAATTTACAGCATTTAATAGCAGGTTCACAATGTCTTTTTTGCAGCCAGTTCTTTCTTGATCTCTTCAAAACTGAACACAAAAAGTGAAAAATCTCCTGTCCTATAGGTGAATCAATATTCCATCAATGGAAGAACTACTGATAGACCTGAGAGTGTTGCTTATTCAATCTCCCTTTATTTTTTTCTACTACTATAGTTCCAGATCTTAACTCAAATTGTAAGAGGAGTGAAATCCCATCTACAACATAATATATGATTGGCATATACTGTCCTAGTGGCTCTGCTTTTATATGGTCAATTTACATATCCTCACCATTTTGTTGAGCAAATCCAGGAGACTTCAAAATTACAAGTATTTGATTTCCTATTTCATACACTTGTTTTAAAGTGCTACAGATATTTAAATATTAGCAAACACAAGACATGGGACTCTACAGCTGAAGATCCCTTGGCTGATGAGACCATTGAAAATTGTTTTCCTAGTTTTTACTGCAAGCATCAGTTCTACACTAAAAAAAAAAGAACCTGGTGTGCAGATATCTCAATTAAAAAAAAAAGGCAGAGTAAAATTTGTAGGTTATCTTATCCATCAGATGAAGTTTCATCTCTATTCTGAAAAGTTCTTACACAACCTAGTGGGTTTGCTTTCTCCATGGTCTAAACCACAGGAGTACACCTATATGTAGATCCCCACCATCTGTCTCTGGAGAGGGTAGAAGGCCTCTAGGGACAAAGAGACAGATAGAGATCATAGAAAGGCCAGAAATCCTCACAGACTGTAAGAAATGACATGTAGGATTATGAGACAGCAACAGAGGATTTCCCTTACAAATGGCAATTATCCAGGGTCCTCCAGCTGAATAGTCATTAAGACTTTGTTAAGTCACAGGAACTCAGCAACATGACCATATGTCTAGTCACAGATGTCCTGATTTCTGCATTTGTGAATCACTAGACCTTCCTTTTACTGACTGTCTTAAATGAAAACAAAATCGAATTCTTCCTTAAAATCCAATACTCTTTCTCATCTGGCATTTGAAACCACACTGGGTTATGGCAAATAGTCTACATAGTTTATGGCTACTGATGGCAATGACCATGAGCAGCTCAAGTGGGATTTATCAACTCTCAGAAGAGTTTTCCAAGGGATGTGGCTAGATTTATGTTTGTTGGAGTCAGGCCAAGACTTAGATGTTTTTTTGTTTAGGCTCACTCAAGGCTGACCGTAAGTTGTTATATTTAATGAGTGAATCTGATCTGGCTCAGTGTGTGGAAAGGCAAAGGGGATGACCAGAAGGTCTCTCTTTTGCTTCAGACTCTACAAGTGAGAACATTGCAGAATGAGCACTGTATGCCACCAAATTTCCTTGAGGGAAAAGAGAATTACCATGTGAGTTAATCAGGGAAGAAATCATGAGTTAAGGAATGCTTCCTCAGGCACCACGAACAGTGACAGAGTGAATGGCAGCAACACTTCTGAGCTATGCAGCTTGGGAAGAATTCATTTCTAAATTACAACCATTGATCACCAGCTGTAATGTTTTCTATTGAAAATGAAATCAATAAAAGGGGCAAGTACAAAGTTTGATTAAACTGGGTAAAGGATTAGTTATTAGAAACTTCTTGGGGTAAGAACCCTCAGTTTTCTTCTGGTTTTGTGTAGATTTTGGAATGAGACACACTAGATGTTTTGGCAAGACTAGCCATCCTGGATCAAACCAAGCCATCTTTGGCCATGGCTAGTAGTAGCAGTCTTGAAGAAACACAGAAGGGCATATATGAAGTGATTCTTTCCCTGTGTATCTTTCCAGTCTCCAGCAATCTGTAGGCTAAGATCTTCCTCAGACCAAAGTAGGACCATGGGCTACAACTATTCTGGTAGCCAGAAGAGTATGAGGGCACATGCTCTGGCCTGACACAAATGACACTACCTATAGATAATCACACTGTGTAGCATTCAAAATAGGGTCTAATTCCCACAGTCTCTAAAACTGGGTGGCCACATTCAAGCTGCTTCTTAGAAAAGCTCCCTGGCATGTGTTAACTCTGAGATCTGCCCAGGAATTTCTTGGGACAGTGCCAGTTGATCCAGGCTTTAAATGCACTAAAGACCACTCTTCTTAGAGGGGTACAGGCAACTCTGTTCCAGTGCCCTGCATCCACAATTGATTTAATTTAGCAGTAAGGACAGAAACTTTATTTTTATTAGCTAAAGGTTTTGGCCTAACTCTTATTACTAAATAGTTCTTTATAATAATGACTGCATTTACAGTGACCTCAGGGTGCAAGGCCAGGAAACAGGCTTGTCTGACATATTTCCTGACTCAGGTTTACACATCCAAATAGCCATTTCTAGGACATCGGTAGGCTGCCCACAGGCATCCTCTAGGCCACTCATGTTTGGGCTGTCTACCAAGCTCATCTGTCTTAATGACAGGTGTCATCAAGAGCCTGATGGAACTGTAAGAGGAAAATGGGACACATGGAGGCAGATAAGCTGGTTTAAAATGTGGTGTGTATATAAACAATGAGAGAAGAAAGGTGATAATTTGTCTCCATTGGATAGTTAATTTTCTGGTTCCATGTTGACATATTCACTGTGACACTTGGTTTCATGCTGTGTTCAGG